AAAAAAATAGCTGATATAATTAAAAGAGATACCGTACTACAAATGAGATGAGTGAACAGAAACCAAAAATTGTTATAAAAAATCTTTAGCTGTATATGAAGTTTTTTTGTGAGGAAAAAAGTAAAACGGTGGCAAAGATGTATTATAAGTTGGCATTGTTCTTAGATTCTGGAACAACTTCTGAAAATGGACACAAAAAAAGTTTGGCGAAAATTTGTCAAGCTATTCTTGGAGAGAACAGTAATGAGGTAGCAGATGTTTGGCATGCACTATTTCTTGGAATTTTATCAAAAAATCCTTATCTATCAAATTACTTTCTGATGAGAATGGCTGAGGTGTTTTATAAAGTGGCTGAGATATACGGAAGGAATGAAAATGTTCCAAACGAACCTGTAAATTTTATAAAAAATCTGCACCTATTTATAAAAAGACCTTGTGACACGGATGATAAAGAAGTGGTTAAATCTGGGTTGTGAAGTGCCTAATCAGTATCACAGTTTGGGCTATAGTTAGCAGTCCAACAGAGACTATGATAGAGCTCCTTATCACATTAGAAAATGATCCTCACAATCATCTATCAGGCTATTCACGAAGAGAATTGCAAGGAGACAGCAGATCACTATACAAACATGGCAACATTATGTTCATGAATGGAATGAAGCAAAAGATTGCTATTAAAATGAGCTATAAATTTACAACATGGAAAATGACTAAGAAATGCTGAATCAGTATTGAAGTATGCATATTTTCTGATAAGGGGAAGCTTATTATCAAAAGTAATAACGAACAGTATATGGTAAATAATATCTTCATACCGTAGCGAAAGGAGATAGCCAAAAAAATTTTCGAATGAAAGTGGTATGGTGCGACAAAAACAAAGTTTTTTGTTCAAAACTTCCAGAGTGAATAACCGGTTCCCGATGCCATAAAAAAATTTCTCTTCGCATATTTTTTCGCATATTACAAGAAATATGGAGTTAATAAAGTTTAATTTCTGATTCTGAATGTTAACGACGTATGTGATGAAATACATAGATATAACCGCAATGAAGTAATTCAAATATCCATTTCCACGATCTCTAATGGCATCCGATCTTGCTTCCTCATATTCTCCACTTCTTCCGGATAGCAAAATGCGAGAATAGTAATACTCATAGTTTCGAAGTTTAAACATTTTAATTCAGCTAATATTTGTAAGGATACATAATTTCATGAAAACATATACAGCAATGAAGCATATACAAACAATGCAAAAACTATTCACTTCAAGCAACAATTGTTACCATAAAATAATAGAAAAGTTCGATTTTTTGTAAACCATATAAACAATCATTTAAAAGCTTAGTTCAAATTCATGTCTTCTGCTTTTCGACTGCTTTATCATTTTTTTTTTTAAACAGACCATTTCTATTCTCATTATACAAGTTTGAACTATATTCCGGAAGATTTAACTCCGACGCTATCGAAAAGAAATCAACAAATCTATCACTGCAAAATAATACTAAAATTATTCTTACTACCTGATTATGGATTACAATACATTTTCTGGAGATGACTCAACAGCCATATAATAACATCATAAGTACTTGTAGAAAACCTTCCCGAAAAGAACAAACAATGCAATTATTGAACCGCTCCGCTTTGTCATCTGTTGTTTGGACTAGTGATTATATAGACAACTTACACTTCATCTTCTCGAAATCTATATGAAAAAATTAATTAAAGGAAATCATCCAAAAATTACAAATATCAGACTTTAAGTTGAAAAACTGGAAGAATTGATTACGCCAAAGGAAATTCATTCTTACCTTTGGATGTTGGATGGCCTGTATAAAGAACCAATTGTTACAATACTTTTCTTCAGAAGAAAACTGGTGTTAAGTGTTGGAAGCAATGAATTTTTATCCAGTATCAACAAGCAGTAACACATTACTAGCTCTGCATACCTTAATCCCATCAAACTATTTAATAGTGAAATACCTTTTCATTAAAGGCCGTTTGCACCAAAATAAAATAATCAAATAAGTTTTAAACGATATAGCGCTGCCTTTTGAACACAAAAACTCTTTAAAAAGTTTATAGTAACCTTTTAGCCAAATAGATTAATTATTTGAGCTAATTTGCTTCCTCAAGCAAATTAGTCCAATAATGACCTTCCCATTACCTCCTGAAACATATGAAAAACAAAAAACATGAACGAGAATACACCTCACATGTGATGAAAATTAAAACAATGAATCCATATTTCCACGCTGCGTTGATTTAAAAGCACCGAGATCTTGCCGTGATGATATCCTCGCCTGTGAAGTAATACCCCATGCCGGTCCATCTGGTGCTGATCCAGATGCTGTAGGTCGTTTAAATCCCTGAATTCAATACATTCCTAATATTTTAAAATTCTATATAACCACAAGAAAAATGTGGCCATGACTAGGAGATTTAAATAAAATAAGCGAAAATCTCATCTTTGAATTCCACCTGCCCAGTGCAGTTCCAAAATTACTATAACAAAGAATGTATGGTTTGTACTGTTTATACTAAATAACAAATTTCAATCACATTCCAATTCACGGTAGAAATTTGTTCACTCTTACTTCATTTCTTTTTTCATTTTTATACTGTGAGTGAAAATTCGAATCAAGCGTTGATATAAACACCATGACCAGCACTATTACTGAAAAATTCAGAAAGATCAAAAAAATACTTTCATGCTTCGACTTGCTGCTTTTGCATTAAAAGAAAGCCATTTCCTCTTCTCGTCCTCCTTTGCTTCTTCTAATTCCTTTTTCCGGTGCTCTTTTTTCAGTGCTCGTAATCGTCGTCTTTCACGTTCCATCTGTAAATGAACAGTTTTTAAGAATAAACTAGTAAATAGTAGAAAGGAAGTGAAACCAAAACTGCATTATTTAAATTCATGAGACACCTCCATTTGATAAATCGTCCTTATGGCATTGTGAAATGATTAAGTTCCATTATGCTATGCAATACTCATTGACATATATTTTGTTGAAGTTCTCAATTATATTAGTCTTAATTTAAAGCTATCTCTCACAAAGCGCTTCCACATTCAACTGTCGTCTGCTTAAATTTTTTTTTTTACAATTCAAAAAACATTTATCCCATATGTTACCGTGTTCTACATTCATCAAATTTTCA